ACACACACACACACACACCTCTTGAGTGTTGGTGCTTCGGTCCTGGACCAGGTGAAAGCCCCGTCGGTCACAGAGATGCTGTGCTGGGCTGAACAGAGAGAACAGTGAGTAGTTAAACCTACTGAGTGTCTGGATTCGAGTATATGGTACTACAGGAAACGGGACTCACAGCCTTCTGCTGCTTTATGCTCCACGCTGTCCAACTGCAGCTCCTCGTGTGACAGAAACACCCTGAGTCGCTTCAGGGACACGCTGGCCTGAGGACGGACGGTGGGAAACTGTCAGAGAGCAAAGGTGCTGCAGACTGCTGCTTAGTACAACTAACACAGAGGGAAAAGGCCCCAAACAACAATTTATACTCATGTGAATATTCATGATTGCATTTTGTGGGAGAGTGAGGAGAGGAAAAGTCCACAGTGTAACACCCCGTAACACTTAAGGTTTAAGGATCAAATGTGTCAGGTGTCACTGGCACACCCAAAATGAGCCAGTGCAAAGTCTGTTTCATCATTCGGATCAAATCATGGAGTCGTATTTAAATCATGTGCACGAACAGCGAGATGTGACGCTAACACGTCATCATATCATGGACACTATGCTCTGCTCTGGGCTTCTGTTTGTTCACACGGTGCTGGGCGGAGCATCCTCCTCACACTGGACAGGCTCACAGACAGGTGATGCGCAGACAGGCGAAGCGCAGACAGGCGATACGCAGACAGGTGATACACAGACAGGCGAAGCGCAGACAGGTGATACACAGACAGGTGATACACAGACAGGTGATACACAGACAGGCGATACGCAGACAGGTGATACGCAGACAGGTGATACACAGACAGGTGATACACAGACAGGTGATACACAGACAGGCGATACGCAGACAGGCGATACGCAGACAGGCGATACACAGACAGGCGATACACAGACAGGCGATACACAGACAGGCGATACACAGACAGGCGATACACAGACAGGTGATACACAGACAGGCGATACACAGACAGGCGTTACGCAGACAGGTGATACACAGACAGGTGATACACAGACAGG